TTGTTTTTGTATCATATGACATGTTTTTCGCTTAAGACTGTGGTAATGTTGTAAATAAAACAAATATTGTATTTTTTATGCCACCCCTATCCAGTTATTGGTCCTTTCCTTTTACCTGTGGAACCTAACCAAACATTTCCATTATCTTTATTCTGTACCAGGATTGCTGTCTACTTGGCCTGTCCTAAAGATGGCACTGATGAGATTGTGCTACTAATGTGCTCTCTGCTAATGACCATTTCGTGTTTGTTTTCCTTCTCCCAAGCAATTTCTGAACAAGATTACAATTTTTTCACAAAATCTGAGGTTATGTTAGGTTAACAAAGGATATTTGGAAAATAATTTGTGTGCATCATGGAATGTTTTTGAGACTAAAGCCGAAATTTGCGGTCCCTTGTTGACTCGTGGACCTCAAATTTGTAAGTGAGCATTCGTGGACATTTTCAACAGTGTTAATCATTTACTATTATGAACAGGTTCATGTATATGATTTGAGTATCTGCTTTAATTTCTGTTGTGATTCGCTTTTGTCCATCAGTAAGATGCATTGTAGTTGTTAATTTAACATTCTTCATTAACTTCACAGCGATATTTACTGCCAGATTCAGACATTGACGAGAGAAATATTTTTACATCACAAAGGTTAACACACTGGGTCATATCAAAATGCACGTGTGTTGCACAAATTAGGTTGGTCACGGTTTGAAAACACCGCGTGACGTAATGCCGCCATTTTTCTCGTGAATTTTTTAATCATCGCGTCGGTTTGTTCGTGAACCTACAGGTGCTTAGTGAGAGTACGTGATATTTGGAAAATTAAAAATTTGAGGTGTAATTTTTATCGTGTGTGTGTTCAAGAATACCTGAAAGAAGACACGACGAACTTACAAGGTTAGATTTGCAATCATTAAAAATATGCATGCATTTTGCCATATAGTTTTTGTTAGGTTAGGTGTAGACACTACCTTGTAAAGTGATATTCTTTACAAGTCTGGGTTTGTGTAGCGTTTTTTCGAGTTCATTGAAGGAATTTTGATTACATTAGTTTGTCTTGTTGGCATATTCACGAACGTGCTTTGTGATACATCCACATATTTAACTATAGTTAATCCATTAGCTTAGAAGCTCTTTTTAAAATAAACTATGCACATGATAAATTACATTAAACTTTGTTTTAATGACTGTGATACTTGCATTATCTTCTAGAATCTTCCAGTTTAATTTAATCTTAAAACTTTGCATGCCGTGTAGTGCATTAGAATATATAATAAGTAAACAAATATTAACACTATAAATCAAATGGTTTAAACTGGATTTAGAAATAAATAAAATTGTGTGACACGTATTGTAAATGCTGTACTTTCACATTACAAATTTATGAAATGCGTATTTTTTAAATGAACAGAGCTGCCAATTCTGTAACTGATGGTGGCTATCATAGTCATGTGTCACTCTGACGCGGCAGCATTCCCCCCAGACAGGTATGTGATAATTTTCTTCACAATGGACCCTGAAAAGAGAAAACATGTTTTAATTAATCACAGGTTGTCCGGTTATTTAACAAGCTTTAGGAGGTTTTGTGAAAAATGTAACTAATGTTTTGGGGTGAGAATTACATTTTGATTGTAGCTCATTAAATATTCATCGCGAGAGAAAGTTTTAGATGAAAATTTTATGCAAGTAGAGGCTACCATTTTGAAAGAGTCGAGACTAAGTTTAAACCAATGAAGTACTTTTCACTTCTGGTATTAATATTGTAAAAGTTGGCATGTCTGTATCTGGTGACTTACCGGGCTCCTCCTGTTCTCTTGCTGCGATATTTCTGTCGACGACTGCTTTGGCAATTGCGATAGCTTCATTTTGCACACATTTCTGTTTGTCAGCGTCAAACACGTAACCCCACTGACAGCCACAGTTGTAGGAGCCTGCTACGTTGAAGCACGCCTCAGACTCATCTGTGCAGGAGTGACTGCCTCGAACACATTCATCTACATCTGTTGACATTTACATATTCGGTCACTACTTTATTTATTTATTTAGTGTTCTGTCTGACGACAGGTCCGTATGAACAGGATCCTTCCATCCTTTTCTCGGACTGGGACCTGTTCATATACGTTCTTGGCAGATGATCCAGAAGTGGTTTGCCATTGCCTTCTTCTGTGTGTGAATGGAGGAATTGTTGGGATGCCACGGAGGAAAACGCCGTGTTGCCTAGACCACGGCCTTGCCCAACAAAAGTTATAAATTCGAACCCGAGACCCCAGGATTACAAGGCCAGCATTCTAACCGCTAGACCACCAACCGCTAGACCACTACTACAAGTCTGTTTTTATTAAATATCATCATTTTTTCCAAAATAACACGTTTTAGCTTTTCATCTACTTTTAGAAAAAATACATTTTTCTTTAAAAAAAATTTTACCTATTGAAGTTGACTGTCATCTGGGATGTTGCACCGTGTAGTCTTTTAGAAATTGACAGGGTCATACTGCCTCGATCATCAGTGTCATCGCCCTGACGAGGCAGTCAAATTCTTTGAAACGTCATCCAGTTTCTAAAAGACTCGTGGCGTAACATTTTATGAAACTTTCTAACTCGCAGCAGTGAAAACCAGAAATAGAATTTTTTTTTTTTGCATAAGTGTGAAATTTGTTTCATGCTGACAGTGGAATTGAGATTGAAAAGAACGTGCTGAATGAATTTTTTTATAATTTTTTTTTTTTGGAAGGGGGAGGATGTTACGTGGAATTTCATATTTGCATTTCGGTATTTTGTGTTATGACGCTTTGTAGGTGTTTACCGTTGTTGTAGAAGGACCTATCACCTCCACGTCTACCCTGAAGGTGGAGGAAATCTATTCCTCATAACTCTGGAGATTACAGTAAACAATAGGCTTTATGTGTTCTACCCACTAGTTTAGTTAGTACAGTACAAGTTCTCTTCTGATGTTAATATATTGTGAATTCTTACCGATGCAGGTACGAAATCTTGAATCCCATTCGTATCCCTTTGCCGAACACTCACAGGTCACGTTCC